AGAAGCAAGCAACTATACACACACACACACACACACACACACACACACACACACACACACACACAAAAGGAAAAGGCAAATTTACCAGGCAATTTACTGCTGACAAAATAGGATATCACCAACCAATGTGTGATTGTCCATAGCTGAGATATCACCAAAGGATCCTGATTTCAGAATCCCTAAATTCGTAGTAAGTATCACATCTTAAATTCACAGTGATCTAGATCAAATGAGTTAGCCTGTTGAATGGAGGATCTAAGTTTTCTGTTTGATAAAAGATGAATGAAAGATTAGCACACCAAAAAAAAAAGCCCTTATTTTTATCAGACTGAGTATTTAGTCCACTTAAGAAAGTGAACTCAATTTTATCTTTAAAACCAACTTAGCAACAATGTACTAATTATTATTATTCGTTGTTGTTTGTTCTTTGTTTTTTGAAGAAGACCAAGGACATGATACAGTAACATCTTAACTCCTGCATGAATTGGGTTTAAGCAAGAGGAGTTGCACAACTCCTCAGCCTCACTCTGTCTTTCAGAACCATCGAAGTCCAGTGGCAGAAAAAAAGTCAAGGGGACTGGTGATGGCCCAGGATGCAGTGAATGACCTTGTGTCTTTGATGTCTGACCAAGCTCTTAAGTGCTCCCGCAGTGCCTGCTTCATGGCCATTGGAACAAATTGTTCTCATCTACCCATTCCATCAGGGGAAGTCTTTACATGCTTGAGATAGACATCCCCCAATTCGCCAAGAGGTTTGAGGCCTATTGGTTATCCTCAGCCTGGTTTAGTCCACTTCCAAGTTGGTTTTACTGGAGTGTATCCTGTAGGTGTACTACAGCTTCTTGGAGCCACTGGTGAGAGTTGGGTAGCAGTCCTAAAAAGGGCTCAGCAACCCTCCCATCAGGGGTGCTAGTTCTCCTTGAGTACTCCATACAATCCTAATTATAATTACACTAATTATAAATGGTACTGAGTTATAGAATCATGGCATATTAGACGTAGAAAGGACTTCAGTGTTATTCTATAGAAAGAGTGCATGTCTTGGAAACAAGATCAGTGTACACCTTGGCTCTGACATTTAACTAGCTATGAGACCATGCAAAAGTCAATTAACTTCTCTGTACCACAATTTTCTCAAAGGATTAGATGAGGATAATAATACTTCATAGTATCTTTCTTATAAAATTGTTATGAAGAAGCTAAAAATGCTAATCCAACTGCCACATTTTACAGGTGAATAAATGAGACATATACATGTTTATACACAGCCAATGAAGGAATTTGTTTTGCTTGACTATGTCTCTTCATTACAAGGAATTTATTTTTCTTTTCTATTTGTTTCAGTGGGGCAAGAGGTACAAGGGGGGCAGAGATAGATCTGTTCATTTTTTAAAAACCATTTTTTGAAAAAGAGAAGTGAAGAGGTGCTATAGATGGGGAATGTTGCATGAACTTCAGGTGTCACCATATTGGTAGTTTTGCTCAATTGTTGTATTTTGTTGAAAGAGATCAATCTCAATGTAGTGGCATTCTATGAGTGTAATGTAAAAACAAAACACATCAACAAAAGGAGAAGGAAGGAAAGAAGGAAGGAAAGAAGGAAGGAAGGAAGGAAGGAAGGAAGGAAGGAAGGAAGGAAGGAAGGAAGGAAGGAAGGAAGGAAGGAAGGAAGGAAGGAAGGAAGGAAGGAAGGAAGGAAGGAAGGAAGGAGGATTCCAAAAGGCAATACAATTGGAAAGTTGACTACCTTATTGTGTAATTCACACTTTTCCCTAATTCAGACTCACCTATCAATAATCTGAAGTTAGAGATACATTGAAATGGCCCTAGATGACTACCTATATCAGGGTAGGTTGTGTATGTGGGTTGTAATTCTCTCTCTCTCTCTCTCTCTCTCTCTCTCTCTCTCTCTCTCTCTCTCTCTCTCTCTCTCTCATAATAGGAAAAATATAAACCCATAAAAGTGGTGTGACTTGTGCAGTGTCACAGTAAGTAGCAGAGCTTAGGCCAAAATGCAGACCTTCTCACTCCCTCTGCATCAGGCCTGAGAGTTGACTGTGGCTATGGTTTAACTTTGGCAACCAGCTCATGTCAATACTGGTCAGCAAATTAATACATTATTTCTCTGTTCCTAACTTCATGATTTATGCGCTTAAGTGACAGAATGGTTTGCTCACTAAAAACAGTAATTTGAAGATAACAATTAACCCTGACAGCAACACCAAGTACAAACCACCTTGAGCATTTCATATGATGGCAGTAGAGCCAGCCCCAGAATCACATGTAGAAAAACCAGCACTTTCCTGCTGGAGAAAATCACCACCAAAGTCAGAGGTTCTGTTCTGAGGAGTAAATATAACAAAGATAGTAAAGTGAAACAAAGGCCAAAGTATAGCCCAGCCTGCTCCATTCAACCTTTTCCTCTCAACCTTAGATTCATTTGCCTACCAATAAAGAGTACTATGGGAACAAAGGGGATCCTCATCACCCCAGTCTCCACACAGTTGCTATGGAGTTTGACTCTGTAATAGGGCAGCTAGGTGGCACAGTGGATAGAGTGCAGGGCCTGAAGTCAGGAAGACTCATCTTCCTGAGTTTCTGCATTGTAAAATGAATCAACAACTCTTTTCTGTAATTCTTAGCCCCCATTCAAAGACCTATAACTGGAAAAATATTGCAATTTTAAACCTCTTTCTATTCCCTATCATTGCCTAATAGTCCCACACCCAGCATTTGAGAAACAATACATGAAGATTGGCCATGTGAGTGGTTTATTACAGTTGCTATGATGTAAATGTTTACACAAAGAAAGGTAAACAAACTTTGAAAAAGCAGGGTAAACTTATCACCTGTGGAGGTAGGATAGGTACCAGGTGCAAAGGTGCTCTAATGAGAGAAAGAAGAAAAGAGGGAAAGAGACAAAAATCACCAGGTTTCATCTGTAACCTGAAGGGGATTTTTCAGCAATAAAAGATGTGCACAGAAATGTTCACCTACACAGACTCAGTCAAGTAATCTGGGACTGATGATCTCATAACAGCTTCTCCAGCACAGCTTCCAGTCTCTGGTCTTTTGGGAATGTAACCCCAGTCCCAAAGCCCATTTTTATGAGACTCTTCTTTACTGATGGAGATGAAGGGCGGTGCCCTAATGGGACGTCATGGGATAAGTGAGAAGCAAGAGCTTCAGTTCTCAGCCAGCTGCCCTTTTCAGACTCTTCAAGCAGGAGTCCCTCTACAGGACTCTTGAAGTTGGAACTAATCTATCTGTAATAGTAATAACCAGTCAGTTTCCAGCTTCAAGAGATAAAATGAAACCCACCCCCACCCCCGCCTTCGAGTTGTTGAAGGAAAAGATTCTAGGAATGTTGCAGGCTGAGAGGTTGAGAAGTTGTGACCCCCTCAAAGACTGAAGTACATGGGTCATCTGAAACGAATTCATAGACTCAAGAATTCTTTAAGCCAAGGTGGCAAAGTTTATTGTTATGCTTTTCAGCAGGCAAGGATTCTTAAAGGATTCTGCAACCTTAGAGAGGTACAGTTAAAGTTCATATAGGATAAAATACAATAAAACATGTGCCAAATATGCTAACTAGGGGATTCAGGGTGGGATTAGAGAGTGGTTAAGGAGAGGTCAGTTCTTAAAAGAACATGCACTTCTTGCACCTACTGCGCAAGCATTTTACCCAGAGTTTATTAGGAAAAGCCCACGGGGGGGGGGGGCCACATGGAGGTGTGGTTTTAGGCCTGCTACATCACTAAGTTAACTAGAGCTCAGGGTAACTGAGAGTTGTCCAGTTTGCCACCAATCAATGTCTTGTTAGACAAGATACATGTAGGGAGTATATATATGTCTTAAGTCTAGAATACAGTTAATGAGGAGCCCAGGATGTAGAGAATAAGGTAGGGAGGTAGGATAGTATAGTAATGGGTCTTTATGACCCAGTGCAAAGCCAGTTTAAACTAATAAATCCTTCAGGTGCTGTTTGGAACTGCACCAAGGAGAGAGATAAGGGTCTTGCTGGGGCCCACTCATGAGTAATTGCTAAGCACAGGGTCCTTGGGCTGGGGAGAAACTGTCAGGGACAGTGTTTCTGAGGTTGGGGAGAAATTCGGATCCAAGTACAAGCACCCAAACACAAGCACCCTGTCAGGAAGATAAGAGAGGAGCTAGCAATCTTCATCAAGTCCCTATCCCCAACTTACTACAGTAGAGACTTTGGGGAGTTTCCCCTTGGGTGAAATCTTGGCTGAACTGAGTTAAATTGCTCCCAATGGAAGAGTTCCTTCACTCTGTATTGTCTGGCATATATTCTCCTATTTATACCTTCTTTGATTTCTGTTTTGCTATGATTTAGATACACAAATTTTTTGGAGTTTGGGGGGGGTTGTTTGTTTTGGGTTGGGTTTTAGGGGGGTTCTTTGGTTTTTGTTTGTATTGTTGTTGTTTTGGGGTTTTGTTTTGATTTGTTTTGCTATTCTCTATGTGTGTTCATTGTGGAACAGTGCGGAAATGATCAACCTTAGATACAGAGCCTGGGGTTATCCTCCCCCACCCCCACCCATGTGACAAAGTGATCAGAAGTTATGACCCAATAGATGTCCAAGGTTTTACCCAATCATACCCTCTAGACAAGCAATATTTAAGGGAACAGATAGATTATACCTCTAGCCCAGTACTCCCTCTCTCAGGAGAAGAAAATGGTAGCCTCTGGCCCCAACTTTATGCTTTCCTCCCTGACAAAAATAAATCTCCCTTGGAGGAGGATGGGAGGAAAAGAAGCTAGAGATATCTATTCTGCCTCCCTTTGAGCCACACACACACACACACTATGAGCCCTCACCACAGGTGAGCCTCACCACACATGTGGGACCCATGACACTCTTCCCTTACATGAATTCTCTCTGCTACTGCCCTTGTCTGTCCCCTAGAAGTTTCACTTTCTCCCTCAAGCACCTAAGAGAGAAGGAGTCACATTGTCACTCAAAGTCAACACCTACCAGTCCTGATGTCAGAGCAAAACTCCCAAAGTGGACTAAGGAGGAGGAGGAGGAGGAGATCTTAGCTGGAAATCAGTAGCTATCCATCTTCTTCATCATCCTGATGTTACATTCTGAAGACAGTAGAGAAGGATTAGAAATGCTAAGAGTAGATCAAGGCAAAGTCTCTTCTTTAGTGACTAGAGCATAGCAAGAGGAAATGGCAAACCACACCCACATCTCTACCAAGAAAAGCTCAAATAAGGTCACGAAGAGTCAGACACAACAACAAAAATAATGGGTAAAAATGTGGAGGAGTTTTGAAGCTTGGAATCAAGGAAGTTAATGACTTTATTATCTCAATAAAAGAGGACCTGAGGTCAGTGGTAGAGGGAGGGGACCCGGATATTGTGGGAAAAGGAAAAGTTTTTGAATAGGTACTGACAAGAATGTGATAGAGAGTCAGAAGAATAAAAGGATTACTGCAGTTCTAAGGAGCCATTCAAGATTACATAACTTGGATGGGAATTAGAGTCAATCAGCATAGTTACAGGACTTCCTCCAAGTGGTCAATCATTCCATCTCATTGGAACAGGAAGAATCTAGCTCATACATCTATAGTACTTACTGTTACCAAAGGACTTTTCTTGCAACAACCTTTGAGACAGGCATTATTAGCCTCACTTCCCAGATGAGGAGACTAAGGCCCTTGAAAAATATAATGGTTTGCCCAAGAGTACACAGCTACAAGACATTCAAGGCAGTATCCCCACTTAGGGCTCCTGACTCTGAGTCCAGTAGTCCTTTTCACTAGGCCATAATGCCTCTCAAATTCAGAACTCTCACCTGTGGTTCCAAGAAGCTACAGCATGCAGTGGCCACTCCAGGTAAACTATCTTGGCAGATGGACTAAACCAGGTTGAGGGTAGCCAACAAGCCTTAAACATGGTGATAAGTTACAGGGATGCCAACCCCAAGCATATAAAGACTTCCCCTGAAGGAATGGGTGGATGAGAACAATTTGTTCCAATGGCCATGAAGGTGGCTGAAGCAGGTGCTGTGGAGTGCTGCTTCTTGTTGTTTGTCCTTCCTTCTTGAAGATTACCAGTGACATCAGGAAGGTGATAACTTGACTTGTAAGTGCATTGGATTTGTGAGGCAGGGCTGTGCAAAATCACCAGACTCACTCTCTCCTTTGGAGCTATCTGGGTCTAGTAGCAAAATATAGATCATGATGATTGAAGATGGCCACAGAGGCAGTGGAAAACCTTGGCCTTTTTAAGCTAAGTTCTTTCCCAGGTCTCAGTTTGTCTGAGGCAACACCCATTCAGTGATTAAGGGCTAGGTAAGAAATGAGGCAAAAAAATGTCCTCTTTTACCTAGTTTAAAAAAAATTAAACTGGAAGGGAAAAACCCTCAGGGTTACTGGCCAAAATAGAAACAAATTGCTGTTTACACTCACTCAGAGCCATCAAAACCCATACAATGACCAGGTGAGGCTTGATTTGATTGTGGAATGCCGAGTTGAAGACACCAAGGTCATCTTGACTTTTGTCTTGCCACTGCCTTTGATGACTGAAAGAGAGAGTAAGGCTGGCAACTTTCCACAATTCTGTCTCATTTCAATCCAATTTAGAAGCCAGTCAAGACACCACTCAGTTCTTGAAGTCTTTGGTCTTCCTCCAACACAAAGGATGAGCAGCAGCAGCATTACCTCTCAAGAACAGATCAGATAGATCATGGGAATGATGAAAAAGGCTAGAGATTAGCCAGGTTTAGAGGCAATAGAACAAGGAAGGAAAGGATTCAGTAGTGGGGGGAGGACATCACAATGGTGACCTGGTTAGGGTATTATTCTTTTCATTCAATACCATTCAATCAACACTTATCAAGCTCTTATTATGTGCCAGAGGGCAGCTAGGTGGTGAAATGGATAGAGTACCAGGCTGGAGTCAGGAAGACCTGAGTTCAAAACTAGCCTCAGACACTAGTTGCATGACCCTGGGAAAGTTACTTAACCCTGTTTGCCTCAGTTTCCTCATCTGTAACATGAGTTGGAGAAAGAAATAGCAAGCTATCCCAGTATCTTTGCCAAGAAAACCCCAAATGAGGTCACAAAGAGTCAAATACAACTGAAACAACTGAACAACAACAATGTGTCAGGCACAGTGCTACAATTACAATTAATTGGGGCTAGAATTAATAAAAAGAAAACAGCCCCCGACCCTGAGGAGTTTACAATCTAGAAGGGAAGACAATACACAAAAAGAGGCAGGAAAGGAGGGGGATAAGACACCAGAAGTTTCCAAAAATTACCCCATTCAGAGGCATGTTGTTCTGTGGAACTGAAACCAGACAGAGTAGCAGATATACAGCAAAGTGAGTTAAGCCAGTTTCTGCCCCCTAAAAAGGAAGCCATTGAGAAGAGTTTGGCGCTTTGCTCTCCTGCCCTCTAATGATAGAGGAGAGGATGCTGAGGGGAGGTACTGTCAATAAAGGCTCTAGTTAGCAGCTCAGTAATGAGATTAGAGGTGATGAGCTTAACCTGAGAGGGACATCTCAGTTTCCTCTAAGATCCTGGACCTAATGTCTCACTGGGAAGCTCCTAATAGACACTCCTTGGGCCATCTCACTCCAGCATCCATGGTGCTTCCTCTTGCTCAAAATGTGAAATCAAATCTTTCCTTCAGGAAATAAAGTGAAGCCAAAACATGAACGATAGACAGAGGGAGTATGGAAAGATAGAGAGATTGGAAGTTGTGGTAAGAACAAAGAAAAAATAATAGCTAGCATTTTTATAGCAATATAAAGTTTACAAGAGGCTTTACAAATATTATCTCATTTGATCTTCACAGCAAGATACTATTATTATCCCCATTTTACAGATGAGAAAACTGAAGCAGGAAGAGGTTAAGTGGCTTGCCCAGGTCACATAGCTAATAAGTGTCTAAGGTCAGAGTTGAACTCAGGCTCCTAACTCCTAATCCAACACTCCCAGGATCAGTGAAACAGAAACATCATAAATTTGTTGTTGGAAGGCACCACAGTAACCCAGTCCCCTTATTTTACAAATTAAGGAAACTGAAGCCCAAAAAAGTTAAGTGACTTGTCAAAGATCATATAGGTGAGTAACAGGTAGAATGTGAAACTAGGTCCACTAACTCCCTAGCCAACACCCTTCCCTCTGTACCAATCTGCCTAAGGAAAGAAGTAAAGATTATGACAAAAGAGAGAATTTCAGGAGGTGTTAAAAGTTTGGGGCAATTTTGATGTCTAAGTCATGGTTTCCCTTCCTGGGTGACTCCAGATTCAGTGCCCTATCTGTTACATTACATTGTATCACAGTATTAGCCCTGAAATGGAAAATTTCTGGTAAAAAGTCCTTTATTTTGTGCTTTTTTTTATAATCTCCTTCCTTATCCCATCTCAGCATGCTATGGGTATATAGTCTACTCAGTAAATCCTCTTCTTTTGATTGCTACTAAATGGTGAAGTATGAGAAAACACTCCGAGAGGCAGAGAATAAAACTGTACAATACTGATTGTGACTTGCCTTTACCACACCATACTGTGAAAATATGCCTAGGATTGCCAATGGATTAGTCTAATTCTTTTTTTTATTTTGATTGGGATTATGCTATAGTTATCAAGATATATCTACTTGTGAGATACCACCTTGCACCTGTCAGATTGACTAACATGACAGAAAAGGAAAAAAGCAAATGCTTAAGGTATGAAGAAAAATGGGGACATTAATGCACTGCTGGTAGAATTGTGAACTGATCCAGTCATTCTGGTGAATAATTTGAAACTATTCCCAAAGGGCAATTAAGCTGTACATACCCTCTGACCTAGCAATACCACTCACTGTTCAGTCTGTATCCCAAAGTGATCAAAGAAAAGGTGAAAGGACTTTTCATACAAAAATATTTTTGTGGAGGCAAAAAATTGGAAATTGAGGGAATGCCTATCAATTGAGGAATGGCTGAACAAGTTGTAATATATGATTGTGATGGAATACTTTTGTGCTATAAGAAATGATGAGCAGATTGGTTTCAGAAAAACCTGGGAAGTCATATTAATTGATGTAAAGTGAAATGAGCAGAACCAGGAGAACATTGTACACAGTCACGGAAATATTGTAACAGTGATCAACTATGAAAGACTTAACTCTTCTGATCAGGACAATGATTCAAGACAATTCCAAAGGACCCATGATGAAAAATGCTATCCACCTCCAGAGAGAGAACTGATGAACTCCGTGTGGAGACTGAAGCACACCTTTTTTTTTAAAGCTTCTTTTATTTTTCTTATTTGTGCATATGTTTTCTTCTGCAACATAGCTAATATACAAATATAGTTTTGTATGACTTCACATGTATAATTGACATCATGTTGTTTCTCAAGGGGTGAGGGAAGAGTGGGAAAGAGGAAGAGAATTTGGAACTCAAAATTTTTTTTAATGAATTTTGAAATTATGAGTTAAAATGAATTTTAAATGAGTTAAAAAGTATTAAATGAGTTTAAAATACATTTTAAATGAATTTAAAATTTTAATGTAATTATGGAAATATTTAATGAATAATATAATTTTTTAAACATATATCTACTTGCATTAGTAGAGAGAGATTCCTCATATGGGAGTCCATATTCCAAAACAATCAGAGATCTGATCTCTGTTTTTATCACCTTTTTAATAATAATACTAGCTAGGATTTATATAGTGCTTTAAAGTTTGTAGAGGGCTTTACATATGTTACTTCATTTGATGTTCATAACAACTCTTGGTGGGGGGGGAGGTGCTATTTTATAGATTAAGTAACTGTGGCTCAAATAGGGTAAGTGAATCAGCCATAGTCTTTCCTCACTTTAATTCCATCACACTATCCACTGCCACCTAGTTTCCTCAATGGTTGAGAGCCTTGAGGCCTAGAGAGGTTAACTGATTTGCCTGTCTTCACATAGCTTCGTGTCAGTGGTGAGCCCAGGTCTTCCACACTTCAAATCTAGTTCCAGATCTAGTATGCCAATGACTGCTCAACAGATACAAGGTCCTTAGAGCAGGTGGGGATGTGCTACAACACTTAGAAGGAAAGCAAAGGGGCTGACAAGGGCAGTGAATATTGTGAAGTACTCAGGAGTGATTGTTGAAGTGAATAAAAAAGATGTCTGTCTCAAGAAATTATAAGAGCCCC